TGGGCAGGGGTACCAGGGACGGTGCTTCCACTGCATGGGCACTGGTCCCCAACATCTTCACACTAGCAGTTTTTTCTGACCATAGAAATCTTAAGAAAATGGATTCAGATTTTACTTAACATAGATATCATGGACATTTCCCCCTTCGTCTTTTTAAATTGTGTGCATGCGTGTGTATGTGTGTGTATGGGCACACGCATGCTATGGCATGTATGTGAAGTTCAGAGGACAGCTCTGTGGAGTCACTCTTGCCTTGCACCCTCCTGTGAGCTTCTGGGGGACCAAACTCAAATTGTCAGGCTTGTGCGTCAAGTGCCTTTTCCCAGGAATCAGCTCACTGGCCCCTCCTCAGTTGTTCAGGTGTTATTCTGTGGCTCAGGCTGGTGTAGTGTTTGCTATACAGCCCAGGTTATCCTTAAACTTGAAGCTATCCTCCAGCCTCAGCTTCCTGAGTGCTGGGATGACAGACATGGGCCACCACAACCGGGTTCCATGTTGTTCTTCAGAACATCACTTGCAGAGGCTTGGGGAATATTCTACTGGGAGAACCTGAGCCGCCTCGCCTCACTTCCAGCGGCTAGGGCGTTCAAATGTTTCCTGGGAACCTGCTCTGTGCCAGGGGCTTTGGCAGAAAAATTGAGTCTCTCTTCCTGCCCACAAACATGCCCCATGCCCCATCTATGCCTGGGGACTGTAGTTGATCATTTTTTAGTTGGTCGCTTTTGCTCTTTACTTTTTGGGGGCCCACCACCCGGCTCTCAAATACACACACACACACACACACACACACACACACACACACACACAGAGTCTTATTCTTTCTTATGAATGCCTGGCCTTAGCTCGGCTTATTTCTAGCCAGCTTTTCTTAATTTAAATTATACCATCTACTTTTAGTTTGTTTGTTTTTGTTTTTTGAAACAGGATTTATCTGTAGCTTTGGAGACTATCCTGGAACTAGCTCTTGTAAACAAGGCTGACTTCAAACTCACAGAGAGATCCGCCTCTCTCTGCCTCCTGAGTGCTAGAATTATAGGCATGCACCTTTTGTCTCTGGACTATGTATCTTTCTTTCTTTTTTCCTTTTCTTTCTTTCTTTCTTTCTTTCTTTCTTTCTTTCTTTCTTTCTTTCTTTCTTTCTTTCTTTCTTTCTTTCTTTTTCGAGACAGGGTTTCTCTGTGAAACAGTCCTGACTGTACTGAAACTCACTGCTTTGTAGACCAGGCTGGTCTCGAACTCAGAGACCCACCTGTCTCTGCCTCCTGAGTGCTGGCATTAAAGGTGCGCATCACCACCACAGGGCCTTTCTTTACTTCTTACTCCACAGCTTGCTGTGTAGCTTGGTGGCTGGCCCCTGGAGTCCTCCTCCTTCTCCTTCTTTCGCTTTTGCTCCTCTCTTCCCAGATTTCTCCTTCTGCCAGCCAGCCTACTCTTTCTCCTGCCTACCTATTGGCCATTCAGCTCTCTTTATTAGACCAAGCAGGCATTTTAGACAGGCAAAGTAACACAGCTTCACAGAGTTAAACAAATGCAACACAAAAGAATGCAACACATCTTTGCATCACTAAATATTCGACAACATAAACAAATGGAAAACATCTTTAATATTCTACACCAGAGGACTGCGTGTGACATGAGCAGATTGTGGTTTTAGAAGCTTGAAAGAGTGGAGGCTGGAGAGATGACTGTGGTTAAGAACCAAAGGACCAGGTTCAATTACCAGCACCCACATGGAAGTTAACAACTCTCTATAACTCCAGGGGATCTGACACCTTCTCACTAATGCATATAAAATAATTTTTTTTAAAAAAAAGAAAAGCTCAAGGGAAAAGCCAGGCACATTGGTACACGCCTTTAATCCCAGCACTGGGCAGGCAGAGGCAGGAAGACTCTGATTTTGAGGCTAGCCTGGTCTATGTAGTGAGTTTCAGGACAGCCAGAGCTCTGTAGAAGAGTTTATCTTCCTCTTACAATGCCACACCACTGAGGTTGCACTCTCATGACCTCATTGAACTCCAATTACCTCTCAAAAGCCAAAAGCCCCACTTCTTAATTCTATAAACACATGGATCTCGGGGGGGTCCTTTTCAACACACCGAAGCCTCAGCAGCTCCTGCTTTGCTCCAGGCAGAGGTTCACACCTTACCCATCCCTCCTGGCAGAGGCTCACACCTTACACATCCCTCCAGGCAGAGACTCACACCTTACTGCCCCTCCTGGCAGAGGCTCACACCTTACCATCCCCCCAGGCAGAGGCTCACACCTTACTGCCCCTCCTGGCAGAGGCTCACACCTTACACATCCCTCCAGGCAGAGACTCACACCTTACCATCCCCCCCCAGGCAGAGGCTCACACCTTACCATCCCCCCAGGCAGAGACTCACACCTTACCATTCCCCCAGGCAGAGGCTCACACCTTACTGCCCCTCCTGGCAGAAGCTCACACCTTACTGCCCCTCCTGGCAGAGGCTCACACCTTACCGCCCCTCCTGGCAGAGGCTCACACCTTACCGCCCCTCCTGGCCTTCCCTCTACACAGCTGCAGTCTCCTGCTGCCAGGTGGGAACTCTCTGAGTCACTGTCTGCCCTGCAAGCATCAGGCCCTCAGACCTGCTTCCGGGCCCCAAGGAGCTGCCCCTAACACAAACACTCCCAACTCCCAGATGAGCAAATGTGGGGCTGAGCATGTGGTGGCCCGCTCCAGGGCTTCTTCAGTTTAGCCCAGAGAGGTGGACTAAGGTGGCCTCTCTGCTTCCCCCCCCCCCCCCCCCGCCCACTTCTCCCCCTACCCAGGCCACTTCCCCTCTGGCCAGATGGCACCACAGTCTTGACTTTTTTCCACCTTTGCTGCCAATTCAAAGTTCTCTGGGAGAGTAATCTTGCTGCTGAAGAGAAGTCAGGCCAGAACCTGACTTAGCGATTTAGAAATTTAGGGGGTTCCTGGTCACTGCTCAGAGGGCTAGTCTGTGGTCATGGTTGATCTCAGATCTTTAGGAGCTGGACAGAGTTTGAGCCAGGCACCTACGTCAAGTTGCTCACAGTTCCCTACCACTCCAGCCCAGGGGATCTGACACACCTGTACACACATAAACCCACATCCACCTAAGATTTTAAATTCTTTCAAAATAAAAAATCCTGAGCTAATTAAACTTAGAAAAGGGTGTTTTTTAGTTTATTTATTTATTTATTTATTTATTTATTATGTATACAGTGTTCTGTCTGCATGTATCCCTGTGGGACAGAAGAGGGCGCCAGATCTCATTACAGATGGTTGTGAGCCACCATGTGGTTGCTGGGAATTGAACTCAGGACCTCTGGAAGAGCAGCCAGTGCTCTTAACCTCTGAGCCATCTCTCCAGCTCCCAGAAAAGGTTTTTTATACTTTATAAAATATTATGTTTTTTTTTTAAAACTTTTTGTACTTTTATTTTATTTATTTTTATTTGTTTATTTTGTGTATTTTTATTTTTTGAGACAGGATCTCCATTATGTAGCTCTGGTTGTCTTGGAATTTGCTATGTAGATCAGACTGGCCTTGAACTCAGAGTTTCACACATCTCTGCTTCCTGATGTCTGTCCTGCCCACATCTGGTCAAAAACAAAAACCAAAACAACACAAAAATTATGCTTTGAAAGAGGTGGGGTGGGGGAGAAAGAGAGAAACAGAGACAGAGAGAGATTAAGTCCAGGTCTCTGATTTCCAGCCTGGAAGAAAGTCTCAGTGAGGCAGTGTTTAGGTTTGGTTTGTTGGCCAGTGGGCACTTTGACAGGGGATTGATTCGAACAGGGAGAAGCCTCCTCTGTGGGCATCATCACTCCTTGGGCAGGGGAATTTGAACTGCACAAGGCTGGAGAAGTGAGTCGAGCAAGATCACATGAGTGCTCGCTCCCTCTCCCGGCTCTTGACTGGATGTGATGTGGCCAGCAGTTCCGTGTCCCTGCCACTTGACTCCCGCACGATGACAGACACATGAGATAGAATAAGCTCCCCAGAAGGATGCACCCTGGGTAGGGAATCTGCGGAGGTTGTTTGTCTGGGGGGAGGCATCCTATGCCCAATGTCTCCTGAGCCTTGGGACCACCCAGGCTGCAAACACCCAGCCGGGTCTCAGGCCGATGTCTGCCTCCTTCCTAAACTGGAGAAAGGAAAACCTGTGAATCTTAGGGTGATCCACCTGAGGGTAAACAGGAAAACAGTGGTCTTTGGTTGACATGAGCAGACACAGAGGCAGCCACCCTGCAGGTGGAGGGTCTGCTGAGCACCCAGGCTCATCTTCACGTCCAGCACCAGAGTGAGGATGGGGGAGATGGCATTCTCCAGAAGAAGAGTGGGGACAAACACAGGAGGTTGGCACAGTGGCCAGATCCATCCAGAGCTCAGAAACAGCTCCAGTCAGAGAGCTGAGCCCATGAGTGTGGGAGATTCTTCTGTTGTAGTACTTGTTGGGACTTATCCTCAATTATGGAAGCTTGGCCTTTAGCTTAGGCTTGTTCCCAACTAGCTCTTGCAACTCAAATTAACCTGTTTATACTAATCTATATTCTGCCACATGGCTTTTTACCTTCTGTTCATTCTGTTTTCCTGGGTCCCTCCCTGTCTTCCTGACATCTCTTGCAGGCATAGATTCATCCCCCTGAGTTCCTCCTTCTCCAGGAAGTCCCACCTAACCTCTTCCTGTGTAGCTATTGGCCATTCAGTTCTTTATTAAGCCAATCAGAAGGCAATGACACATCCTAACAGTGTACAAAAAGATTATCCCATGAATTTTTGTCTCTACAGCCCACCTCACCATAGAACATGTGGGTTTCAGGGATCTAAACTCAGATCTTTGAGTGGGGTTGATAAATATTTTACTTATAGAGTCCTTTCCCTAGCCCTTCTGAATTTTAAAAATCGTTTTGAAAGACCCTCAAAGAGCGAGGACCTTCCCTCGGGAGGAGACCTCCCTGAAGCCAAGGAACAGGCAGAGACCACAGGGATGCAAATTGCAAGAGGTTTATTGGGTAAACACAGTTACCTGCTGGCGGCAAAGTCTTTCGGAGGACTTGTGCCTGCCGACTGGGGGGAGGTCTTTTTATAGGAAAGAGGGCAGCAAAAAGCAAGTTTACAGAAGCAGAAGCATGGTTATCGGTTGGTCGGAATGGGGGGGGCATGAATGGTTTTCCTCTCCCAGCATGGATGTCTGGCAATAGATATCCTGTTCTTATCTTTGTAGATATCCTGTTTTGCAGTCATCCTATCTCGTAGACATCCTGCTTTCCTAAGCAAATGGGATGTTCTCGTGAGAGCAGGCTAGCTGCTGATCCTGAGAATCTTTCAAGCAAACAGGACGTTCTCCGGGAGCATGCTAGCTGTGGGTTTTGAGGAGGGGGTCTGTAGGGTCTTTCGGTTTTAGATTTTTTAGATTACACATGCAGATGGATATGTTTCTGTATAGGCATATGTGTATGCGTGCAGTGCTCAGGAAGACCAGAAGAGGGTGTTGGATCCCATGGAGCTGGAATTGCAAGTGGTTGTGAGCTCCCATGTATTGGGAAAGGAACGCAGGCTCTCTGGAAGAGCAGCTGGTGCTCTTAACCGCCAAGCTGTCTCTACGGCCCCTTCCTGGACACTATGTCCTTCAAATCCACACTCTACACACAGCCTCTGTGCCTGGCTTCTGCCATTCAGTGAGTAGGCATGCTGGTATCTGCTCTTGTTTATGCTGAGTGCTATCCCACCGCGTGGACATACCCTTCACGGGCTGAACCTGGCTGTCGGACCAAGGCAGCTACCAGCCTGTGAATGGCTTCAGACCGGCATGTGTTTGCATCCTTGTGCACAGCGACTGTGGTGAAATATATGGGAATCTGTTCAACTGGTCTCCAAAGCAGATGCAGCATCTGGGACCCCATCAACCATGGCAAGTGCCCCAACCCCTCCCCATCCTCATCAGCAGTTGGGTGCTGCCATGAATAATAACTCTACCAGCCAGGCTGCACCTCGGCCTCTCCCCAACCAGCTGCATGTTGCTGTCCTTTTCACTTTCAGCCTTGCTGTGCTGTGACCCTCATGGGGTTTCCCTAAGCTTTCCCCTGATAGCTGATGATGTCAAACAGCGTTTGTCTTGGGAAGCACCTGAAGGGCCTTCGCACCCCACAAAGCTAAAACCGCACTAGGGACCCCTCCCTTCCTCATCCCAGCCCTTTACCCACAGCCCCTCTTCAGGACGGCTGCCCATGTCGGAACCCTGAGGTCTTAGCTCGCTTTTCCTTCTGTTGCTGCTAATTCCAGCATCCCTAGGTGTGTCTCAACCACTCCTTCACCCATATCCTCAATCGCCTCTACCCCTGCAACAGCTCTTCCTCTTCTAGATGCCCCCCTTTGCCTTGTTCTCTTCCCTCATACACACACCCGTGCCCACACTCGCACACTCTGGCACCCTGTGACTTGTGCGCGTGGCAGACAGGAAAAGCCTGAGCTCTTGCAGCTCTTGCCCAGATCTGCTGTCAAGAGAAACACCCATGTGATGGGTGGGTAAGGGCAGCGCCAGACACAGGGAGGAGGCGGGGACTGGGTATAAACTTAGCCTACCAACTACCTGCCCACCACCTCCTGCCTGACCTGAATCTCCTCCCTGCCTGACTTCTCCCTGCCTCTCCTGGCTCTTTGACAAAATGCAACCTGTTTGCTCTCGGTTTCTAAGCTGCAGTCCCGCCCCTCTTCCCCCCTTCCCCGCAGCAGCGCCGTGATTTCTGCACCCCTATTATGCAGAACCTAAATGAGGCAATAGAGACAAAGGTTAGGCGGGCAGGGCCTTCCACCTTGGTGCTGGGCCTCCCTCTGCATCATCCTGATATCTACAGAGAGGGGCTAGTTCTTCTCTGTCACCTTTCCTCTGCTCCAAGGAGCAAGGGGATAACAAGGGGGACTTCCAGATGACAGGAAGGTCAGCAGAGTGAGACTTTGGAGCACAGGATTCCCCCAGAACCCCACTGTGGTCTGGAGAATAGAGCAATGTCATGCTAAGAGCCTGGCTGCAGGGCCTGGGTTCCAGTCCCACATCCTCTGTGTGATGGGAGCTGGACGTTCACGTCTCTGAGCCTTCATTTCCTCCTCTATGAAATGGCAAGGCTGTTTGAGGGGTTCAGGAGGTTCTGCAGACATGTGTGGGTTCGCGAGTGGATGCCTTGGCTGAGTCAGGTTCTGTATAGTCAGGGGCATACAGAGACAGGGCGGGGCAGTGTGTGTAAGGGACACCTGGAGTTTGCCCGAGGGCCAGGTATCAAATTTTGAGAATCAGCTGTTCAGCAAGTATCCACACTCAAAACCCCAGGCTGCCCAGCCCCTCATCGCACCATCACCCTCCAGAAGCAGGTGGCCAGCGTCCCCTGGTGGCTGTTCCTCCCATCCAGGGTGAATGAACCCCATTCCAAGCAAGAAAACCACAGCTGCGTTCTCACACAGCATCCTCAGGAAGGCCCCAGGGAACTGTAGCTTAAGTCCTGTCCTCGCTGGATCTGTGAATCCTCCTTCCTACTCTTTTTGACCCAGGGGAGATGAACCCCAACCGGCCCAGCCCACCAGCTGACCTCTTCTAACCCAGAGGGAAGCACCTCCAGATACTGGGCCATCTCTCCAGGGTCCCTACTCTGTCCCCAAGGGGCCCATCCCCTGCCATGTTCCTTCCTGCTTTCCTTATGGCTCTCCTAATGGCTTTCCTATTCTTCTCTCCCAAGATGCAGCCTCCTCTTGCATTGCAGGTCACATCCTGAGCAGGTGGGTCAAGGTCTCTTCGTCCCTGACAGTGTTTTCCCTCCTCCCTGGTGCTGTGTTCCCAACAGCTGTCTCTCGTCTATGGAAACGAATGGAAGAAAGGCCGTGGGGGTGGGTCAAGAGTGAGAGCTCGGGGGTCCATGTGGGGTTGGGGTGAGGCAGGGCATGTCCACCATTCATGTGACCCACGTACGGGCAGCCCTCCTGACTTGCTAGAGTTGGGGGGTTTCAGAACGTAGGCTCTAGTGCCAAGAAAGTCAGCAACTATTTGTGACCCTGTGTCACCCTGCCCTGCAATTAGGGCTCAAACTTACAGAACCCAAGTTGGCTTGCTGCCTCTTTGTAAAGGTGTGTGTATAAGTGTATGTGTAGGTGTATATGTCTGTGTAGGCATGTGTGTAGGTGTATATGTGTATAGGTGTGTGTATGTGAGTGTGTAGGTATGTGTGAAGGTGTGTGTATGTGTGAGTATGTAGGTTTGTGTGTGTGTGAGTTGTGTAGGTGTGTGTAGGTGTATATGTGTGTAGGTGTGTGTGTAAGTGTGTAGGTGTGTGTGTAAGTGTGTAGGTGTGTGTATGTGTGAGTATGTAGGTTTGTAGGTATGTGAGTGTGTAGGTGTATATGTGTGTAGATATATGTGTGTAGGTGTGTGAGTGTGTAGGTGTGTGTAGGTATATGTGTGTATGTGTGAGTGTGTAGTTGTGTGTAGGTGTGTGTATGTGAGTAAGTGTGTGTGTATGTGTGTACACGTATGCACGTGCACATGGAGGCCAGAGGACAGTCTTAGCCCTTGTTCTTCTGGAGCTATCTCTCTTCCTTTTGAGATTTTCTCTTATTGGCCTGGAGTTTTCAAGAGGGACAGACTAGCTGATCAGAGAACAACCTGTTTCTGCTGCCCCAAGCCTGGGGTTCACAGTGTGAATCACCAAACCTGGTTTTTGTGTGTGTGTGGTGGGGGGTTCTGGGGATTAAATTCAGGCCCACACGTTAGTAAGACACGTGGTTTCCCTACCGAGCCAACTCCCTATAACAGAGCACAGTGACATCATTATCACCACACACAACACCATCATCACCACACACATCATCATCACCACACAACACCATCATCACCACACACAACACCATCATCACCACACACATCATCATCACCACACACAACACCATCATCACCACACACGACACCATCATCACCACACACGACACCATCATCACCACACACGACATCATCACACACGACACCATCAGCACACACAACACCATCATCACCACACACGACATCATCACACACGACACCATCATCACCGCACACGACACCATCATCACCACACATGACACCATCATCACCACACACTGTGGTTTAGAGAACCGATGTAGGGAGCTGCAGTAGAGATGTTGTGGTACCCACAGTCGAAATGCTCACCATCTTAGCCTTGAAAAGAAATTGGTTAATCCCAAACTCTTGGCAACAGCCCGTGGAGATACGTGGGAGGTAAGGGACAGCCTGGAAAGGGTCTTGGATGGCAGGGGCTATGCCAGTGCGTGAGGATCCGCTAGAAGACCTTAGTGGGGATGGGTACCCTGTGGAGGGAGAGGTTTCTGGGCAGGATCATGTGGACAAACTTGGGAAGGGTGTATTCAATGAAGCTCTCTGATTGGTTTATTTGCTCAGGTTTGTTTGTTTATTGTGTGTGGAGGTCCGAGGACAACTTCTGGGGAGCAGTTTTCTCCTTCCACCATGTAGGCCCCAGTCAAGCTTATGACACTAGGCGTGGCTGCAAGCACCCCTACCTGCTGAGCCAGCCAGAGACAGGGTCTCAGGGACCCCAGGCTGCTCTCAAGCTTGCTACAACGTCAAGGATGCCCTTGACCTCCGGCCCCTCAGCTCTCTAGTGCTGGGAGCATAGGCATGTGCAATTATTTACATTGCGCTGTCCCCTGAGCACTAAAAATCTCTATTGTCTGAGAGGAAGACAGAGATTGGCCTACGAGTCCTTCAGGAACCCTGCCTGGAGGTGGCAGCCTGGGCCCACAAAGGACTCAGCCACCATTTGTCATACACATTTATTGAGTGCCTGTGCTGTGCCATCGTGGGAGGCCACTGTCACCAGACAAAAGCTCAGGGGTTCACAAGACCCAAGCCTGGTCCTGGGATCCTCAGACAGGTGCCTGGGAAAGCTGAGAGCTGCCCCTCACTGCGGGTAGAGAAACAGACATGGCCAGAGGGCAGCCTTCCCAGAGATCCTTTCTTATCAGGCAACCATGGCAACTGACGGGAAGGTTTGGGAGTGGGGTAAGGGAATTCGTTCTTTCTTGGGAACGTGCAGCCAGGACTTCAGTGACCTGCAGGAAGCTGCACAGCACTGGGAGGCATTGTGGCTGGGGCTACAGAAAAAGCAGCAGACAGGTCAGAGAGAGGCGTCTAGGAGCAGCAGCTGCTACCATGGTCCTTGGCTTGGAGGCCACTGGATTCCATGAATAAAGCAGAAGATGCAGGACTTTGGAGGCTCTGGGCCCTGGGGGTGGGTCTAGGCCCCTTCCCTAAAGATCCTTATGGATAAAGTCCACCCAGGAAGCCCAGCTCTGCGGCCTTGGCGAACAGTGGGTGGAGGTACAGCAAGGGTACCTGGCTTGCTCAGGTAGCCAGGGAGGCTAAGGGAGGAAGCTGCGCAGGGTGAGGTCATCCCCATCTCGGTCCTCACTGGGCTCTGTCTTCGGGTCCTGGACCTTGGGCAAGTCCCCATTGGCTGTGACAGGGGCCCCTTCACCCCCCTCAGGCAGTAAGGATGAGATGCAGATCATCTCAGTGGGGGAGTAGTTCCTCACCGGGTACATGTGGTTCTTACGGGAAAGGCGGACTGCCAGCACCACCGTGCACACCAGGAAGATGGTGGCCAGAGAGGCTAAGATGAGGATGACCAGCAGGCATTGCTTCACGGGGATGAGGTCCGAGATCCCTGGGGTCGTTGTGGCCAGGGAGCTCCTAGGAGTCACAAACAGCCCATTCTTCAAGCCATTGTCATTCAAGTGGCCAGTTGCCATGTCATTGTCCTTATGAGTCACAGATGAGCCGAGGAAGATGGTAGAGTCAGTGGACATGGTTTCCGTGGCAGTGGACTCCGTGGGCATGGTCTCTGTGGCAGTGGGTTCTGTAGAAGGTGCTTTTGTGGCTGTGGCCTCTGTGAACAGACTTTTTACAACCTGCCTCCCGGGAAGCTGGGAGGTCTCTGCCTCCGTGGGTGCTGGCTGTGAGGTCTCTGCTTCTGTGGGTGCTGGCTGTGAGGTCCTTGCCTCTATGGGTGCTGGCTGTGAGGTCTCTGCTTCCGTGGGTGCTGGCTGTGAGGTCTCTGCCTCTATGGGTGCTGGCTGTGAGGTCTTTGCCTCTATGGGTGCTGACTGTGATGTCTCTGCCTCCGTGGGTGCTGGCTGTGAGGTCTCTGCCTCCGTGGGGACTGGCTGTGAGGTCTCTGCCTCCGTGGGGACTGGCTGTGAGGTCCCTGCCTCCGTGGCTGCTGGTTGGATGGTCATTTCCACTGTGCTTGGCCTCCACTCTGTGGCTGATTCTGTACTCACTATTTCAACAGCCAGTCCTCCTGCGTCTGGACCAGCAGGGTTGGTGGCGGTAACCTCGGCAGTGGTTGACTCAGAGGTTCCGGCCCCTACAGAAACTCTCTGCTCCGGCATGGCCATTACGGTCGGAGACTCAGGGTTTGCAGCCACCGCACTGGTGACATTGATCAGCACTTCTGGGGGTTCTGTGCCTTCCGAGAAATAATAATACGCCCCCAAATCATCATCTCCAGTTGCTTGTCTCCGTTCCCGAAGAGGCACAGGGCCTGAGGCTACCTTGGTTCCTTGCTCCTGGATGTCCCACGACTGGAGGCTGTCGCTAGGGCCCAAGAGGCTCAGCAACAGCAGGAAGCGTGGAAGCATTGTACCTGGGGAGACAGGGGCAGAGAGGGGGATGGCATCACCCTGTGCCTGCTGAAGACCTCACAGGCAAAGTTGGTCTGGTCTGGGACAGGCACTGTGGCATCAGGCATCTCTTGAGGTGGACCTCAAGACTGCACTGAGAAGCATTGTGCTCATCCACACAAGCAATGCCATCCAACCATCAGAGACGGTTCACTAACCTTTCTGGCATTTTTGGTTAAATTTTGTTTTCTTTCTCCTCCTGCCTCAACCTCCTGAGCACTGGAATTATAGCTATGAGCTATACAATGCTCAGTGGTTAATATATAGGTTAATTATATTAATTAATCTATATATAACATATTATATATAATCTATGTATTTTCATTTTGTTTGTATGAATGTTTTGCTTTCTTGCATGTCTATGCACCCACCACATGTGTGCCGTGTCTGAGGAGGCCACGGGATCCTCTGGAACTGGAGATATAGCTATGGGCTGCCACGTGGGAGCTGGGAATCAAACCCTGGTCCTCTGGGTGAGCAGTCAGTGCTCTTAGCCACTGAGCTGTCTCTCCAGTCCTAAAGTGTTTTATTTCTACTAGGCTCAAGACTATAATCCCAGTATTGAGAGACTGAGGCCGGGGGGGGGGGGGGGGGGGGGGGACACTGCAAATTTGAAGTAGGTCTATCTACTAGTGAGATCAAGGCCAGCCTGCATGGCTTAATGAGATTCTGTTTCAAAACAAATAAAAACAAAATTAAGAAGAAGCCCAAAGGGTCTGGGGATGGTGGCACGTGCGTTTAACCACAACACCCAGGAGGCAGATCCTGTTTTAAACATGAAAAAAAAAAAAAAAAAAAAAGAGGAAGGTGAGGGGCTGTGAAAGCCAAGTCAGCATTGGGAACCTGCTGAGAGCATGTGTGAGTCTCCAGATTCAGTCCCGAAACCTGAAAATAGGGAATGAAAAATGAGCAGGCACGGTGGCTCCTTCTGTCCCAGCACTCTGCAGGCAGAGGTAGGCGGATCACTGTGAGGTCAAGACTAGCACGGCCTATATAGCAAATTCCAAGCCAGCCAGGGTCAGTAGCAAGACCCTGCCTCCAAAAACAAAAGTAAATAAACAAAAAGAATGAAAACAATTGATCTGTGGGCAAACAATCCATTGAGGTAGAGCAAGTGAATGGATTTTCATCTCCTTTTTTGTAGTTTTATTTGGGATTCTCTTTCTTTGTTGTTTTGTTCTTTTTTTTTTTCCCCAAGATGGTGTTTCTCTGTGTGTCTGTGTCTGTCTGTCCTGGAACTCACTCTGTAGACCAGGCCTGGCCTTGAACTCATAGATCTGCCTGCCTCTGCCTCAGAGCGTGTGTGTGTGTGTGTGTGTGTGTGTGTGTGTGTGTGTGTGTGTCTATTTGTGCTCACGCACAAGCCATGTGTGCAGGTGGGGATCAGAGGACAACCCTCAGGAGTCTGTTCTCTCCTCATGGGTCCAGGGATGCAAATAGCTGCCAGTCTTGCAGGCAGATGCCTTGACCAGCTGACCTCTCACCTGCACACTGTTTCTATTTTAGATAATAACAACTTCAAAAGAAAAAGTTACAAACGGACCAGTGGGCAGTGGCCCTCACAAAACAGCGGCTGAGTGGAAGAGCCCACCCTGGTCTGAGGACAGCAGCTTGCTGGTCCCTAATGCTTCTCCTTCACCCCTGCCCCCGCCCCCACCCCATCTATCTATCTCCTCCCTGCCCACACACAATTTTTTGCCTGTCCTCAGGTCTTTGTCTCTTTTACTAAAAAAGTGATCTATTTGAACTGAAAAAGGACAACATCAATAGACATGCCAAAGTGGAGGGGAGGACCTCAGCCCCCAGGCAAGAACTAGAGCCACTTAAGGAAGGAGAATGGAGAGAAATTGTGTCCCCAGAAAGAGCACCCTGACTGGTTAGCCACCGCCCAGTAGTCGTTTCTGAAAAGATACACAAAGCAACCTTATCCAGAAACAGCAACTAATGAAAAAAGAGGCCATGAGTTTGAAATAGAACAAGGAGAGGCATGGGGGAGATTTGGCTTGAGAAAAGCAAAGGAGGAAATGATGTAATTGCAGTCTCAAAACAAAACAAACCAAAACAAACCCTGCTGGGTAGTGGTGGCATATACTTTTAATCCCAGCACTTGGGAGGCAAAGGCAGGTGGATCTCTGTGAGTTTGAGTCCAGCCTGGTCTACAGAGTGAGTTTCAGGATAGCCAGGGCTGTTACACAGAGAAACCCTGTCCTAAAAACCAAAAGAAGACAAAAAGAAAATTAAAAACAAAACAAAACCTTAGAAAAGGTTTTAAAAAAAACCTTGGCATTTTAAATTATTCATATGATGTATCTGTGTGGGGATCTGTGCACCCGAGTGCAGGTGTCTGCAGGGACTAGAGGCATCTGATCCTCTGGAGCTGAAGTTACAAGTGGTTGTGAGATGCCAGACATGGGTGCTGGGAACCCAACTCAGGTCCTCTGGAAAAGCAGCAAGTGCTCTTAACCACTGAGCCATCTCTCCCCTTGGTTGGTCTCTCTCAGCATCGCCCTTTGTGTCCTTGCTTAGACAACAGGGGTGACAAGACCCAAAAGGCACTGTGAAGGTCCTTTAGAAAGGGACAGCAGACAATGGTGTTGGATGGGAGGCGGCTCAAACACTGCCTCTTAGAATCTGTGACTTTGAGACAGACGCTTGCCTCTCTGAGCAGGGTTCCTTCTTAGAGGAAAAAGACACGGCCTGCCTCACCTTGGCGCCACTTTCCTGTGGGGAGAGCAATGCAGGAAGAAGCCCCGGTGCTGAGGTACAAGGTACGTGTCATCACCATGACACAGACACCAACACCGCCCAACACCCACTACCTCCCCTTGGTTCCTGGAAGGCAGAGACTCAACCCACTTCCTGAAACGGTGGGGGTGGGAGGTTAGCCCTTCAGTTCCTGGGGGCAAGGCAGCTTGTGGGGGACCAGAGGGACTGAAAGTCAGGGGTCCTATCTGCAGGTAAGGGCCAATCAGAAAGGAGCCAGGCTACATTCTACCCACAATCCCAGGCACACAGAGGCGACCTGGGGTGAAGGAGGGGCTGGCCCACATTCCCCCTACAGCAGCTATAAGCCTCTGGCTGGGCCTCTGACACTCAGCTGCCACTGTTTGTAAACCAAGTGACATTGCTTCAAAGACGTCCAATGGAAGGCCCCAGACGCTGGCTTCTGAAAGGAAGAAACAGGGGAAACCTTCTGTGGGGACACAGAGGCTCAGGCTCAAGAGGGCCATGGAGAGGAGAAGGCTGCGCTGTGGGCAGTCAGGGAACGAGAGCCCTTCCCTGCTGTGGGCAGGTGCTGGGTGGGAGTGAGCAGGTGGAAGCTCTGGGCATCCCAGCTATTCCGAAGGATCTCTGGAGCGCAGGAGTCTAACACCAGCCTGGGCAACACAGCAAGACTGTCTCATATAAAGAAGTAAACACATAAATGAATATAATTTCTTTTTAAAATATGGCCAGGCCTGCTGATGTGTAGCTGTAACCCCAGCATTTGGTTGGTAGAGGCAGAAGAACACAAGCTCAGATTAAAGGTAAATAAACAAGAGCTGGGGCCGTACCTCCTGGGGGAGGGTGCGCCTCAGTGGCAAAACATTTGCTCAGCACAGAAAAAGATGAGGCTCCTGGGAGAGCCTGAAGCTCCGTCCCTGGGCCTGTCCACAGTGACCAGTTTGACCCACAAGTCAGACATCACAGAAGTCCCTCAGTCTCTACTAAGCAGGGCCACCGGCCACTCCAGGCCAGTCCCTGCCATCTGTGTACCCTTACAGGCCTGGTCCTGGAACACCAGGACCTGGGACATCTGCCCTCTGCAAGGATAGGATCCCACAGCTCCGATGGAAGCCATGTCCGAAACAGGTGGGCTGGAGCCCAGCACCAGCTGCATCACTGGTGACGTCTCCTGAGGTCCAGGCGTGTTCTACAGGGAAAGCAATGTTCATCAGCCCCATCACGCTGCCACTGCGGTGGGCTCTTCTCCAGATGAACTCCCCCGTCTTCTTCCAGGGAAGCCCAGCTCCCAGGACCTCCATGACACAGATGAGGGATAGCAAGAGTGGGCTAGGCTGAACTTTAAGGTGAAGCCACATCCAATTTGTCTCGATACTCGCCTGCCTATTTCCTGTCCTTCACCCCCAAACCAGTAGCTACCTCCCTAGGCCCTGGGGTTTATGAAGGGCAGGCTTTGAGTGGCCTCGGTCCTCTGAGAAGCTTGGACCCTCCCCCTTCGAGTCCCTGAACATCATCTTAGAGCTTCAGACTCCAAGAAAGGCAAAGCCTACACCAACAACAGGGGAGACTGAGGCACAGGTACCCCAGGTCCCAAGAGGGGTTTATAGGAGAGTCAGATAACAGTCCATCATAGGTCTGTCCCAGGCAAAGCTGTGTAGCCTTGAGCAACTCAATTCACCTCTCTGAGCCATGGATATCAGATCTGCAACATAGGTGCGCCTCAGTTTACCATGGGGTTTAGTGCCTATAAATCCATGGTAGCATGAACATGTGAGCACGCTTGACCTGAAAAACATTGTGGAGTAGCCAGGCCCACGTGAAAAGTGTTGGAAAGGCTGACCTTAGCCTGCAGTTGGCAACAGTGTTGCTAACTCCAGCCTGCAGTGTAGATAAGATTCAAAACTTAAAGTGTGGGTCCTGTCCTCCACAATGGAGAACTTCCTTTTTTGTTTTTGTTTTGTTTTATTCTTTTGTTTTTCGAGGCAGGGTTTCTTGGTAGCTTTGGAGCCTGTCCTGGAACTAGCTCTTGTAGACCAGGCTGCCCTCAAACTCACAGAGATCCGCCTGCCTCCCCTAGTGCCAGGATTAAAGGTGTGGTCCAGAAGGGTGTCACACCACAATGAGGGCAAAGCGTCACAAATCAGGTCAAGGGTGAGGACAGTTGTGTGAAGAAGCAAGAGATTCCATGGCTCATGGGACTGCTGAGGATAGTGAGGGAAGGTCCCCGTGGGATGTTTAGAACCCAGTAAATGCTCAATAAAAGCCAGATTGATTAGCAGCATTATTTTCAAGCAGGGTCTCACCATGTGGCCCTGGCTAGTCTGGAAGCTCACTCTGTAAACCAGGCTGGTCTTAAACTCACAGAGATCCAACCACCTCTTCCTCCTAAGTGGTGGGACTGAAACCATGCATTGTCATAATTTTGAATTTTGCATTTAGGGCAAGGGGCTCCCTGTTAACCATTGCTGGGTCTTGGGAAATCCCCAGCCGGGGAGCAGGCTGGAACTGGCCTTTGCTTCCTTAGAGAACCGAGAAGCCCAGCAGTCGGTCACTATAGCAGGACCTAGATGCGGCCTTCATCTCATCGACCTCAGGCTCGTGAGTCATGCACACTGAGTACGACCTGCATCCGTGCTGGGCCCTGCTCTAGGACTCGCCTGGGCCCATTAAAGGATGGGAACCATTGTTCTGAGGGCTCCCAGGCATCTAGAGTCACCCTAACCAGGAGCAGGGCCTGGAAGCTAGGCAGCGCCTCTACAGAGCGAGTCCCAAACCATCTTTGCTTGGAGCCATCCAGATCATCTCAGGTTTGGTCCAGCATCTTCCATTCTGGTTTTTTTTTTTTTTTTTTTTTTTTTTTTTTTTGGTAGACAGGGTTTCTCTGTGGCTTTGGAGCCTGTCCTGGAACTAGCTCTGTAGACCAGGCTGGTCTCGAACTCACAGAGATCCGCCTGCCTCTGCCTCCCGAGTGCTGGGATTAAAGGCATGCGCCACCATCACCCGGCTCAGCATCTTCCGTTCTGTAAACCTTCCTGAAGTTTGTCTCCTAAAACTCCACTCAAGTTAACCCATGAACTCTAGAAGCTCAACACTGCAGCCACGTGGAGACAGTGACACATGCCCAGGGTCCAGCAACGGGCGGGCACAGCTGGGGTCTCTCTTGGCTCATGGGCACCGTGATAATCTGCCCTGTGCCACCTCACCAGCCCACAAGCCTACGGAGGGCAGAGACTCTGAGGTCTCAGAACCAACATGCCTGACATCCCTAAACAGGGCCATTCCAGACCCCAGAACTGCAGACATGTGGTCTCAGTCTCTTCTCAGTGTATTTGTAAACTGGCACATCCCACTGATCAAGGGCTCTCTTTTTAAAATTTTCAAAACAAGGTTTCTCTCTAGCTTTGGAGCCTGTCCTGGAACTAGCTCTGTAGACCAGGCTGGCCTCAAACTCACAGAGATCCTCCTGCCTCTGCCTCCTGAGAACTGGGACTAAAGGCGTGTGCCACCACCGCCTGGCTTGGACCCCGCTCCCTTTTCTTCTAATTCCCATTCCCACCCTATAAACTTTTTGTTTGTTCTGAAGCAGTCTCATGTAGCCCAGGCTGGCCTACAATTGGCTCTGTAGCCAAAAATGACCTTGAATTACTGAGTCTCCTGCCTCTGCCTCCTGAGTACTGAGGTTATAGCTGTGTGCCTTGACACTCAGCCCCTATCATTCATTCATTCATTCATTCTGAGACCATGTGGCCCAGGCTGGCTTCAAACTCATAGAGGTCTGCCTGCCTCTGCTTTCAGAAAATGCTGAAATTAAGAGCGTGCACCTTCACTTCTGCTCCTGTGACTCTTTTTTTTTAAATTATTATTGTTTTTTACTTTACTTTTTTTTAATTAATTTATTTATTATGTATACAATATTCTGTCTGTATGCCTGAAGGCCAGAAGAGGGCGCCAGACCTCATTACAGATGGTTATGAGCCACCATGTGGTTGCTGGGAATTGAACTCAGGACCTTTGGAAGAGCAGGCAATGCTCTTAACCACTGAGCCATCTCTCCAGCCCCCTCCTGTGGCTCTTTACTAGTAAACATCCTGTGTGTCTAATTAATATCCTGTGGGCCCTTGCAAGGCCATAAGCATAACATTAGATAACGTGGGGGCTCCTTAACCCCAGGAACTAAGCACGGCTTGTTGGAACCCCAGGGCACTGGCCAGCTACAGATTAGCCGTGAGACTGAACGCAAATTCAAAGAGAGCTTCCCCTGGCTTTCTCAAGTGGCATAAACAGCATATGTCCTAGCCGGCCAGTCTGTCGGTCCAGTGCATCACTTCCTGCAGCAAAGGGGACTGACAGATCTGGTCACCACAGGTCCAGGGTCCTGCAGCCATAGGCCCATAGGCCTTCTTGACCATGACATCACATGTGGCTGTCATCTCTCCCTCAGAGCCTGGTTTCCCCACCTATAAACAGCTGCACCATCCATCGGAACACTCAGGTGACCCCAAAGCACCAAAGCCCCTCCAGTGACCCAACAGGGATCCAACCCAGATTTTCTGGAGAGCTTGGCAGGGTGACCCAGTCCCTTTCGTTCCTCAGTTTCAGCTCTCTGGCTGCTGGCCAATCTGGTGAGGAAGGAACATCCTTACAGGGTGTGGTACCACCAGAGGCACCCAGAAGAGCTACCTCCCTCACCCTTGGCCACTGAGAGGTCAGACCCTTGTAGATAGAAGCTAGTTCCAGGAAAAGAAGTAAAAATGAGGCCAGCAAAAAAACCGCGTTGTACACAAAGGAACCAATTTCTATCTAGAGGTAAAGGGCTGAGGATGCTCAGTGGTAAAGCACTGGCCAAGCTTGACAAAGGGCCTGGGCTCAAACCCAACATCATTCAGCAAAGCCCAACACAGATTTGTAGGTGTGGGGGCTGGGCTCTGCTTGGTCTTCAGCCTCTGCCCGTCTCCAGTGGGCAATACACTTGCCTAGGTTGCCTGAAGCTCTGGTTTTGATTCCAGCATCAAGGAACCATGTGTGGTAGAGGTACATGCCTGTAATCACAGCACTTGAAACTGGAGGTACAGAATTTAAGATACTCCGTGGCTGTGTAGGAGATTTGAGGCCAGCCTGGACTAGACGAGATTGTCTCAGAACACTGAGCCTGGAGAGCTGGCTCAGCAGGATTAGAGAGTACTGGCTGCTCTTCCAGAGCACCCGGTTTGATCTCCAGCACCTACACAGAGGCTCACAGCCATGTTTAACTCAGCTTCCAAGGGATCCAACATTGTCTTCTGGCCTATGAAGGCACCGTACACATATGATGTGCAGACATACATGCAATCAAAACACCCATACACATAACATTTTTTAAAACTTAGACTAATTTAAAAACAATTTCCTATGAACAAGTTCTGTTTTCTCAATCTGATTAAAAAAAAAAAAAAGCAAAAAAGATCTGGGTGAGTTAGATGACTCCAAGGGCAAAAGGGCCTGCTAGGGACATCCACTGACCTGGGTCTAGTTCCCAGAACCCTCAGGGCAAGGAGAGAACCAACTCCCTCAAGCTATTGTCTGACCTCCACACATGCCGATGACACTCCTGGGCTGTTCATGCACACAAGTTCATAGGCACACACAAAGTAATATGCAAATAAAAATTTAAAATAATCAAAGAAGGCTGGTATGGTGGTGCATGCCTGCAACCCCAGCACTAGGCCAAGGCCAGAGGATAGCCTGGGCTACACAGAGTTCCAGGTCAGCCTAATGAACAAACGGAAACCACTTCTAATTTGAAAGAGAGAGAGAGAGAATTGCAAAGAATATTCTCATGCTTTAACAACCTCAAGACAGACCGCACTCTGTCCTTTCTGGACTCCTCTAGGCTCAGTCTCAGCACTGGCCTTAAGTTTCCCACTCATGAAAAGAGGGGTAGGATCGTTTCTAGGGAGAGGGCCCAGACTTCTCTGAACCTCTACTCAGAGACTACAAGGCGGCAGCCATAGCCTGGTACCCAGACAGCAGTTAGTATCAGGGGAGACCCACAGCTAAGGCTGGAGAAGATCCAGTCTCTATGGAGACCACGGTCCAGAGCCTCAGTGCCACTCGGAAGGGCTCCTGGTTCTGCCCTGTGTGCTAGCAATGGAAAGGCAAGCTTCTTATCCCTTGGGCCACCAGCCACTCCCCAGTTTTGCAAATCAGTACTTACCTGCTCAGCAAAGCATGGGGCAGCTGCCTCGGGGCCCAGAAGCAACTCTGCCTCAATGACAAGGCCCCAGCCCACACTGCCAGACACTTGCAGTCCCAATCGGACAACCCCCAACGGCAGGGTGTGGAAGAAGGAAGTGAGAATGTGGTTACTCAGGCTGGTCACGTGACACCCCACACCCCCTTGTTTGTGACAGTTTTGGTGACAAATCTGATTCAAGTTGGGTGGGCAGTGTGACAGTGACGTGCTTGGCCTGATAGCACTCTTGGAAATACAAGGAAGGTATGGGACCTTACAGGTGAGGGGACCTCTGGGTGAGACTTCGGAGAGAGAGTGCTGGTCAGAAAGAACCCTGCCTTGGGAGGCTGAAAAGGAGGACAGGTCTCAATTCCATTCAAGGCAGAAAGTGGGAGGCAGAGGGGTGGGAACCACAAAGTACCCATCTCTCTGGGGCTGGTGCAGAGAATAGCTTTCCTGTTGTGTGAGTGTGTGTGTGCCTGCGTGTGTGTGCATGTGTGTGAGCATGCATGTGTGTATGTGTGCAGGTGAGCATGTGTGTGTATACATGTGTGTGAGCACATGTGTTTGTACGTGTTCATGTGTGTATGTGCACATGAGTGTGTGTATGTGTACGTGTATATGTATATGTGTGTATTTGTATATGTGTGTATGTGTGCGTGTGTGTGTGAGCACATGTGTTTGTGTGTGTATATGTGCATGTGAGTGTGTGTATGTGCATGTGTGTGTATGTATATATGTGTGGGTGTGTACCTCCACCTCTATAGCTCTGCTTGGTCTCAGGATCCTCCTTCTCCTGGGCAATAGGATGCTTTTCTTCTCAATAGGATGGTGAGGCCAGCCAGTAAACAATTACCATGACCTCATGCCTGAAGTAAACGTGTCACTCCAAGGTGGGTTGTAGAGTTAGGCAGGAGAAGTGACAGTGACATCAGGAGTGACAGGTATACAGGCTGACAGATCAGGAAGAGGAGGAGGGGATTAAGCTCCAGGGTCTGTCCTGCGGTTTGACAGGGCCAGGCTCGGGAACCATATAGAGAAAAGCATACAATGCCTTGCACGTAGATTGTTTAAAAATGAAACCCAGCAGGACAAGGTGGTATAGCCTGTAACCCCAGCACTCAAAAGCTGACAATAAGAACAAGGGTTTGCGGTCAGCCTGAGTTACAAAATGAGAAGACCCAGCCCAATAAAATAAGATGAGAGGCAGGTATGGTAGTTCATGCCTGTCATCCCAGCACTTGAGAGGCTGAGCCCAGCCTGGATAATATAATGAGTAGCAGGCCAACCAGGGTCCCATAGCTCATCTCAAAAAACAAAATAGGACCGTTTATAGAGTGGCCTGCCACCAAACCCCAATAACCTGAGCTCAAGAACTGGAATCTACCTTGTAGAACAGACTCCTGAAAGGTGATGTCTGTCTGTCTGTCTGTCTGTCTGTCACACACACACACCATGGCATGAATATGTATGATGTGGGATTCCCCTCTGTATGCTGTGAATACCACTGGCAAATAAAGAAACTGGCTTGGCTTGACAGGGTAGAGTAGAGCTAGGCAGGGAGGGGCACTAAACTGAATGCTGGGAGAAAGGAGGCAGAGTCAGAGAGAAGCCATGTAGCTCCACCAGAACTTTACCTGGCAAGCCACAGCCTCATGGCGATACACAGATTAACAGAAATGGGTTAAATTAAGATGTAAGAGTTAGCCAATAAGAAGCTAGAGCTAATGGGCCAAGCAGTGACTTAATTAATACAGTTTCTGCATGGTTCTTTTGGGAGTCTAGGTGGCCAGGAAACGAACAAGCGGCCTCCTACTACATGTATATGCACATATACACACACAAAATAAATATATAAAACAAAATAATGTTTAAAGTAAAGAAAACACACAAAACAAGGCCGACAGACAGACAGACAGACCTGAGACTCCATGGTGAGTCGGGACGGGATCTTTCAACAGCCTGAGGAAGCCAGCGCTAAGGCCCATAGCTGAGCCCACCAGAGCAGACAAATAAGCTGCAGCAACAGGACTCACATCTAGGCTGTGACGTAACGACATGGAAAGGAACCGTGACCGTTCTGTCTCTGCCCTGCCATCCAGCTCCGCCCCAGCCAGTTTATGTGGCGGGAGACAGATGCAGCAGCCTGTGAGCCATATCGAGGCCCACTGAGCAGAAGACATGCTTTCTAGAGGTGCACACACTGCCAAGTGGAGTCCAGTTCATGCTTTCTGTGTGGAGACCGTGAAACCACATCCTCCTGCACCTGACACCTGCGAGGCCAGCATCCACAGTGAGCAGTTTGGTGATTCTAGGAATGGACCCTCAAGGACCTCAACATGAGAGAACATTTGGGGAAACAGAAGTCCCACACCAGAAAGATCTGTCCCTTGGTGGAGTACAAAGCAGGCACTAAAAATCACATCCCTGCTTGTTAAAGCAGATTTAGGAGACAGACTGAAGGGTCATGAGCGTACAGCCAGGTGGTTATAGACAGACAGGCCTGTTTGATTTGCAAACAGACATAAGCAAAGTTTCAGTCACTTCTTGGAACTACCTAAAGACAGACTGAACTCACACTCAGCCAATCAGAAGTAGCCAATGCAGTTATAATCAAAAACTAAGAATCTTCCAAACCAATCAGATCTCTGTTTTCCTTTTGAGTCTTTTGAGTACCCTCAGCAGGACTCCTGAACCTCACTGGCTTAAAGCTTCTTGATTTACTAATTTTCATTACAGTGTGTGTGTGTGTGTGTGTGTGTGTGTGTGTGTGAGAGAGAGAGAGAGAGAGAGAGAGAGAGAGAGAGAGAGAGAGAGAGAGAGAACAGGTCAAAGGGTAACCTTTTTGGGGAGGGGGTTCGAGACAGGGTTTTTCTGTAGCTTTGGCTGTCCGGGAACTAGCTCTGTAGACCAGACTGGCCTTGAACTTACAGAGATCCTCCTGCCTCTGCCTCCCAAGTGCTAGGATTAAAGGCATGTGCCATCACCACTTGGCCAAAGGGCAACTTTAAAGAGTCAGTTTTCTCCTTTTCCCATACTATATGGGTCTTGGGGATTGAACTCAGGTCGTGAGGCTTGTTGGCAAGTGCCTTTGGCCATCTTGTCAAGCCCTGAGCATCATAATTTATGCATCATTGTTGGAGTAAACTTTCCAAAAAATGTTTTTTCTTATGTCTCAGCTTACCTGAGGGCAAAGCACACAGGTACCTGTTATCAAGGAGATAAGCACTCTCCCTCCCAGACTTTTGTTGAGGCAGGGGCTTGCTAAATTCCCAAGACTGGCTTTGAACTCATTCTGTGGCGTAGGCAATCCTTGAACTCATGGCCCTACTTCCCACATAGCTGGGACAGCAGGCCTATGCTCCAGCCACGTTCTGCTTTTTAGAAATGGAGCCTGGAAAGATTCAAAACCTCTCACAGACCACAGCAATGATTATTTGTTTAAAAGAGATTTGAGGAGCTGAATGTGGTGGCACACACTTGTTATTCTAGCACTCTGCAGGCCGAGACAGGAGGATTACAGTAAGTTCAAGTTCAGCTTGAACTATGAGTGGAGATCCAGGCCAGCCAGGGCCAGGGATCAAGGCTCTATGTCAATAAACAGGGCCAGGCCTGGTGATGCATGCCTTTAATCCCAGCACTGTAAAGGGAGACAGGAGGAAGCCTATGAGTTTGAGAACAGCCTGGTCTACAGAGTGAGCCCCTACTTGTGAGACGCAGGCACTGGCGCCATGCCCTTATCATGTGTCCACAAAGCATGTCCTGCTCCTCGAGGGAAAGGCAAGGCACCGACACATGTGGTCGGCAAAGCTTAAATGTGTGGGTGTTCTGAGCTCACATGGCTGTTCCTGAGAAGCGGGATGGGCACCATCTCCTTTGCCACTCTCTACTTCTTATAGAAAGTTTTATGTGCTCATGATGATGCCGGGTTCCTTTGTCATCCTTTATGTTTAGGTATTATTGAATCTACCCGTGGCCCTCGCGTGCACTAGACCTCTGAGCTATAGCCTCAGCCCTGTTTACTGTATAATTAGGAAACAGAGCTCTTGAAGGCGGCAAGGATTTTATGGACATTCTGTATTCTTGACTTCTTTCTTTTTCTGGGGTCCATGGGGTCAGTTTCCTACATGTCTGACCACTTCTTAGAGCAACCAACTGTGGCTCCTTCCCATGGCCACAAATGGCACTAATCCTGTTGGTTTCCGGATCTCTGTGGAGGAGTTTCTGAAGGGTGCGGCAGTCTCTTTAGGCATTACAGAATGAACTTCCAGAGGGTAACTCGTTACCCACAAGAGAGCTTTCTTCTGGAAAGGACCAGATAGTAAATCTTCCTGTTTTGTGGATCTGTTAAGTCATAAGAACAGCTATGGTATGTAAACAAATGTATGGACTGTGTTTCAATAAAACTTTATTGTCAAGAATAGGTGGAGGGCCAGATTTGTCTCTGCGGTCTGCAGCTTGTGTTCCTTCTGCCTTGGGTACTTTTTTATTTTCTTTTAATCAGCAACTGCTTCTGACTCATCGTACTCTATCTCACGTGTCTCTTCAAGCCCTCCTAGTTCACTGTACCCCTCCCCCACCATTTCAGAGCACCCAGCCCCACCCCTGCTTGATGTTTGCCTGTCTCCCTAGAAGCCACAGTGAAAAAGCCATGTCAGTTTTGCTCATCGTGGCTTCTCCTTGTCCTCTCTCTGTACCTAGCACTAAGAGATAGCTGCTGCTTGGGTTCCCAGGCCCTGTGCTGGGCTCTTCATTATAGCTGCCCCGTAGGTAGGTACTATTGCTGCTCCCATTGTACAGGTGAGAAATGCCAGGTCCAGAGGATCCAAGTATCCTGCCCAGGGTGATCTACTGATGGGTGGCAAAGCTGGAGTAGATACAAAAAGTGCCACTCAGACACTGTATCTCAGCTCCTCCCCATACCCCAACCTGCTGTGATCTGGGAGGATACAATGTTTCTAGCCCCTCACAAGTTGTGAGCTCCTGGGGTGTGGAGCAGGAATCACAACTAACAATGCTGATGGGTGCTGGAGTCCAGGGCTCAGCAAAGCCTGAGGACTGAGGTCTGTCTGTGGACCTGCTGGGGAGGTCATTGCTGACAC